CAGGGCACTGCATTGGACCCGCAGGTGGGGCATTCGGACGAAAAGCGCTCCGGAGGCGCCTAGTTTTCGTACTCGTACGAGGGCGCCTTCACCCCTGCTTGACCGGAACGGAGAAGTCCACTACCACATGGAGCGGATTCTCCAGGAGCGACGGCGTCTTGGAAATCAACAGCTTATCTTGAAGTGGAGGGGCTATGTCCACTCTGAGAGCTCGTGAGAGCCGATTGAACGGCTCCTGATAGACTGCCCGAAGGCTGGCGCCAGCTGGGAACATAAGCAGCGGCAGCTTCGTAAGTAGTCCGGGACGTCTTGCCCGAACGGGGTACGGGCGTTGGCGACACTCCGTACCCGCACCAATCGTGACCGCGCGCTTCAGAAGGTCCCTTGACAGTATGCGCTTGCTGACCAAGTGGGCGAGCCGGACACAAAGACCACGCTGGTCCAGGATGGGAGACAGCGGCTGACCTTCACGGAGTCCCCATAACTCCGAGGGTGCGTACTTGAGAGACTCAAACCACGCCCAGAACATGTGCTCACACGAGTTCCAGTTGGGACAGTTCTCAGGAAGAGCCCAGGGGTAGCCCCAGAGAGAGTAGATACCACCCCGGTTCTCGGGCTTCTTACGACAAGTCGTGAAGTCCTTCAGAGGGATTCGGTGCAGCGTGAGAAGCACGCACCGGGCCGCCTCCAAGTTGTCGGCGAACAGCTGCTCCTTCTGGGCCAGGGCACGTTCGTAACCGCCTTAGAAGTGTGAACACCGACTAGGTCACGAGGAGCGACGAGGATCTCCAGAAAGAGGTCATTCCTACAGCTCTCCTCGTGAGGCCAATAACCTTTTGCGTTGATGACAGCTCCCTGGTTGACGGGTGCTACCGCCGGGACCCCACGCATGCGCTGGGCAGCTTAAAAGTCCTCCTGCTGCTGGTCGAGGTCGTTCGTGATCTCCCGGGGATCATGGATAGCACACGCCTCCTCCTCTTCTCTTGAACCAAAGGTTTCGATAGGCGTACCCAGTCGCCTTCTCCTGGCTAAGTAGAGGCTTCGATGCCGCGCGTTTCTTAAAGGATTAGCGTCTAAGGCTTTGGTGGCCTTAGCACGCGCCAGACCCTCGGCGAGCGAGAGATGTTTGGGAGATTTCTCCTCCTCGTCGTCGCCAGCTTTGGAAGAGCCCTTAGCCTTGACGGCAGGACTCTCAGAGCGCATAGACGTCCTGGAACTGTGATCACTAGCGAGCGAGTGCACGCTGTCGTCGTCGTGCTCGCTGGGCACTGGAGTGTGCCCTACTATGGAGCCCACAGGAGCATTGTGAGTGCTCCCGGACTCGGCCTCGACCTCACTGCCCGAGCCGAACTCACGTTCAAGGAACCGCGGGTTCGGTCGGTGGTCGGGAGATACCGGTGACGGACTGCGGCGCTTGCATGCACGCTTGCTCGTAGTCGCGTCACCCGAACCTCCGAAGCCACCTTAGCAGCCTCCTGGAGTGCATAGCCTTTACCGCGAGGCGTAGTGCTCTTGGCCTGCGCCTTTCCGGCAGCAGCCTTCGAGTGTGCTTTCGCACCGCTTTTTGTAGTGCCACGGAGTTTGCCAAAGGCTGAAGTGGAGACCGAGAAGAAGAGTGCTGCTCGAGGCACTAACTGTGAAGTGAGCCTCCGCCGCGTTCGTGCAGCCAAGTTGATGTATTTCGACTTTGAGAATGAGAGCTTGTGACATACACTTCCTCATTCTGATTGGTCGGTAAACCGAACCTAAGCAGGGAGGATGTAACGGGGCACGTAACTCCAAGTGTACCCCTGCTTACATGAAGTGTAACACATCAACACTTCAGGATACCTGGTACATGGTACCGGGGTCGTCAGAGGCCAAGCATTGGCTGATGGCATAGCGTTACTATAGGTGACTTATAGCTTTGTCACAAGTCTTTGTAACGCCTGCTTGCCGGCCACAGTGCTATGCTGGTCGTCGTCCAGTTCCGTATGTAGAACGTCTATAAACACCCGTGCACGCCACCGCAAAGTAACCGGAACATTCGCTCCTATTTATTGACAGCTAATCTATGTCGAACTTCTACTAGCAGCTAACTGCGTAGTTCTCACCGTCCGACTCGTTCTTCGCTCTTCGTTCCTCACCGAGTCGCCACCATCGTCCTTGCAATCCGTTGACAAGCTGCCCAGGTTCCACGTCAACACTCTCGCTCACTTCGAGACCCACAAATGTCCCGTAGTGGCGTCGTTCATGCTCGCGCCGCCGTGAGCCTCTACCCGTCGCCATCTTGTTTGTCCAGTAACAGCTAATACAATAACGCGTCCGTCACTGTCTTCGTTCCTCGTTCTTCGCTCGCCTTTCGTCTTTCGTTTGTTTTTCGTTCGTCTTTTGGCACTCGTCTAAGCCGCCACTCTGTCGCCCGCCGCAAAGTTCGTAGTCTTTCCACTTCGCTGTAGATTCCAGAGTGAGCGCTTGACCACCGTCCGCGTTCCACGCGATTTTTGCCCGCTCAGCTTCTTCAACCACCATCGTCTTCCGCGCGAAGTCCGTGCCGTTCATCACGGCCTGTCGTCATCCCTCGTACTACTAAATCCAGCGGTCAGGATCGCACACGGGCGATCTTTCCAGATCGTATGACTCTTCATCTGTGCTCTGAACGGATACGGCAGCTGGCCGTCCGTACACGGCTTCGTCTCGTATGAGATTGCCACGACCCGCGTCGTCCTGTTGGTCGTCATCACTGGTCGTCGCTATCGGCATCCTGTTACAGCTTGTATATTTAACTCAAGCTTGGCCTACCTATAAATGCATTCAGTTTACAGCTTACCTTCAACTGGTTGTTTTGCTCCCTTCGACAAAGGGACCTGTAAACTAATGTTCACTGAGAGTTTGCCTACTCTCGGAAGCCGACTTCCTCTAGCGCAAGGTCCGGTGTGACCCCGTCACACCAGTAAATTATTAACGATACGATACACCGTGCTAATGTGGTTGATCCTGATCCTGATACGTGTATGTAGTGATCCAGTATTTAAACATTTTGCATGTATCACCGTAAGCCTCGAGCTCCTGGGAAGCTCAGTTAGAAGAGCTGTATGGACAGCCTCACAAACATTGATCTCTTCCAAAAAGATTGCCTGTAGCCCCAGATCACATCACGCCACTCAAAATTTACACAAGTTAGTGACACATGTAACTGTGTTCGCGACGAGCATTAGTACACTACAGCTTAGTAGCTTGGTACATTGCTTCCCTAAGCATCAATACTAACTTAGAAGTTGGCGGCCTTGCCGCTCCCTACGAATCCGAAGTCATGACATCCATATTACAGCTCAATACATTACCTTTTGTTCCCATATGGTATCTTATCTGGCTCCTAGGTTTGGATCATACATCGTTATTTCCTACTTGGGGTTGGTAACTACTACATGTTATGTTACAGACAGCTCCTTAAAACGCTCTCCATCCACACCCGCTGTTCTCCTAGCTCATTTCACCTCCAGACAATCTGTTCTCCGCTATGGAGCACTTGGCTAGCCTGGGTCACGTCTGTTGCAACGTCTTCACCGGCGTTGTTACTGCTGCTTGACTTCGTGGGTACCCCTGTGTCTTCCGTTTTTACGCTGCAGGGCCGGTCCCAACAGCAGCCCAGGCATAAGTGCCGACTCGTCCGTGTTCGACTACTAGCACATGATGCAGAGTCCCCAGATTTATGTGTTTCGCATTGTCTTGCCACAGCGTGCACTACAGCGGTACATGTTCTGCATCTTTCAGCGCTACGTCACGCTTCGTTAATTCTTGGGCATTGCATATAACCGTTCCCTCATCGAACTCAGTGTAGCAACGCCAATAACCACCACGTTTTGGCTGTCATGAAGCATGACTAGCCGCGCAAAGTTGCATCCGCTAACGTCAACGGGATGCATCCATCGCCGCTCGTCCGACAGAATCAATTTCTTTGTTGCTCAGAAAAGGGTGTGGTAGGGACATCAATCATGCTAGACTGAATAGTAGACAGCGATCGGCCTTCATAGTCCGTTAGACGCCACCGTTAGCCAAGCATGGGCTGACAGAAAACTTCCTCAAGACAGTCGTCGGTAGCCGTGAAGCACACACTACGTTGGTGATTGACTCATCACGTAGGACCACATCGCACTTGTGCTGGGAGGTGTCCTTTCGAGAGAGAATATACTGGATGTCGCCAATGTCACACAAAACGCCACCAACATTTACTACGGTGTTCACAAGTGTTGTAGCTGAAGCTACAGCGTGCAAACGCTGCTGGGGTTTGACCCAACAACGGATGCACTCACCGAGCAGAGGTTTCGCCTCAGCGCGTACACGATGGCGTAGAGGTTTTGCAATTGTAGTGGGAAGATGACTTCATGCGAGGACGTAGGGGCTTTGCAGCTGCAGAAAGAAGCGAGGCTACAAAATCAACGGACACGGAGGTAGAGAACTGAAACACAAAGCTCATTAATATATTTATTTCTACATTTGCACCGAGCGACACAACAATACGCAAAGTGGTCAAGTTCCGGATTTCGGTGGTCGTGAAGTGAGCAGCATCGATATCAACATCATCTTCAATCGATTCGACTTGCTTACAAGCGTCAAAACCATTTTAAAATTGTGAGTAACAGAGATTTACTAACGCCGCGATGATCTGAGACTGCCATGGCTGAAACGAAAGTCTCTATTGATATCGAGGACACAAGCAGCAAACTTTTCCGCATTTTCGTTAAAAGTACCGGCCCGAATTTGTTCCCCGCGCCCGCGATAAGCTCAATAACTACTGTGGTCCACAACCATCGCCATGCGCCCCTTTCCAGTTTCGAGCTGGGGGGAGATAATTACTTGCACCCTGGGGTGACAACTTACCGAAAGGGTTACCCCTATTATTGAATTTGTCAAGTTTTGCCAGCCTAAACCCTTTTCTAAAAAGCGTTTGTACGCCCACCATCCCGATTATTAATAAGCTGAAATATTTCGCCAATCAGATGTCTTAAAACTTCTATATCATGGAACTCTTCCCAGCGCCAACAGTGGACGAGAATGAGGTGCGCTACTGCTTCTTCCTGCCCTCTTCAGCCCGACCCCAAGCTGAGCTCCTTCAAGCCGCAGAACAGCAGTGCAGCACCTACTTAGACTTCGCAGCTCAGCAAACACGCGATTTTTTGTGGCACAAACACCGTTTCCACCTCGAAGTGCGCGCTACCAAGACTGGGCGTTATATTCTGTCAGGTCGTTCCAGCGTTGGTGATGCAGTTCAGGACGAGTGGTTCGTGGCCAAGCTCGTGTTCGACATAACTGCCGAGTTTCCATATGTCGTCGGCAGGGTATGCGACTCAGACGGGGAGTTCCTACTCATCGAGAGCGCAGAGGCGCTGCCTGATTGGGTCACACCTGAGGACAGCGACCGACGAGTATTCATACTCAATGGGAAGTTGCACATTGCCCCACCCGCAGCTACCAACAAGAGAGGCAAAGAAGGTGATCTGTACGACGAAGACGCGTTGCTACAAGTGCTGGACGCGAGTGTGAAGACAGAGGCGAGTACAGCCGTGCAGCGTCTGATTCGTCACAAACTGGACCAAATTCCTACCTATCTGCGCGACAATCGCCATCGTGTCCGATGTCTGTTACCGGACAGAGCCGCACGGGTATTAACAGCCAATAAAGAGCTGGTGGGACCTGCAGTCGAGGCGTTCTACTATCGCGAACCCAAACAAGCAGGGGCGGTATGTGCAAAGATGGCTACTTTTATGTCGTCAGGAGATACTGTTGTGGAACAGCAAGTTACGTTCTCTAGAGCCATGTTTGCACAACTGAAGCAGCAGAAATTCTTCCCACCGAAGCCATTGCTTCGTCTGGATGCGCGCTATCGTGTACTGGAGAGAAAAAGTGAGGAAAATGCGCATCCAGACGCCCAAGCCGCAGATATTGGAGTGAAACTCACCTGTGGGCTAGAGTTGCTGTACGCTGGAGACGGTGAAGACCAGCTTGGGCGACCGTGGAAGCAGGTAATCGATGAAGCAGTGCAGCAAGAAGCGAAGCTCTCGACTTTGCCGGTTGAAGCTGACGATGATGATTCGTGGCTGTACATGCATCCGGATACACTGGAGAGTCAGCTTCAACGTGCTGCTGTGGCGGGATCTGATACGGCATCTGGAGGCGCGGACGAGCTGCAGAACATGGCTGCTATGTTTGGCAAGTTTGTGGATGGAGTGTCCGGTGTGGACGGCGTGGAAGGAGCGGAGCCTGTCCAGTTCGACATGAGCTCCTTCATGGACATTTTGAACGGCCACGGAGGCGCTGACTTGAACGCGCCATGGGGTCAACACTTTATGGATGAAGACGAACCTGATAGTGATAATGACTCTGAGGATAACGGAAGCGACGAGAATGCGTTGGATGAGGCTATGGCTGAGATGGAGGCGGAGTTGGTAGGAACCAATGTAGCCAGGAGTTTCTCGCGCTTTGAAGAGGTGAAAGACGAGGCCGCGTCATCTGTCAAGGAAGAATCGACAGAGGTTGGCTCAGCCTCGTTTTCGTCCGCAAAGCCGCTGGATCTGGACTTTAATCTGCTCTCCAACTTGCTCGAGTCATTCGCATCCCAAAAAGGTCACGCTGGTCCTGTCAGCAACATTCTCAACGAAATGAACTTCCCCAAGTCGACACCGTAACTGAGATCACATATTGGACATTCTCAATAGATTAGCTTACAAACAACTCCTTTAGCTGTCGACAGTATTATCTGGATCAGTTTTTGCAGTCTCGGGTCTTGCAGCAGATGCAGTCTCAACCGACATAAGTGGAGCGGGGTTGTCCTCTTGTTGACACCACGAGAAGAGGAATTGTCGAGCTTGTACTTCTCGGGCTTCCACCTTCTTCAATTTCTCCGCCATCTCCTTAAACTACAGCAAGCAAACATGAGTGGAGAAAATAAGAAAACAACGACACTAATGCTCTCTTACCTGTGCTTCACGTGCGTTCTTTTCCGACTGCATGACTCGGATCTTCTCCTCCAGCGCCAATACCACACGCTGTGGATACAACAATGGCTTGGGTGGCGATGGAGTCGGCTGGGAAGCCACGCTATCGTCTAGACGTCTGCAGACCAACATAGAATACGTTAAGTCGTCTCTTCATACAAGAACAATAGAAATGTACGATCCGTATCTGTCCTTGAAGGGAATTCTAGCCCTCCAAAGTCATCAGGAGATCACGATGACAGCACATGGCTTCATACTCGTTATGAGGGGGCCATTAAATAAGCTCCGAGTGCAGTATAGTAGATACTCAAGAGACTATACTGCACTACATCGAGCAGACCCCCAACATGCAAAATACCCATCAGACACGTACCCTAGATGTCGCTGTGGGGAATCATCAGCCTCTGTACCTTCCCCGCCAGCGTTGCGGAGTTCATCCATAAAGTCATGAACAGCTGAGATCTTGGACTCGATCACTCTTGATACGTTTAATTGCTGTATGTGAGAAGCTTCGATCGCCTGGACACGTTCGCTTAACGGAGGTATCGCCGCCTCGAGACTGTGTTTGTGCATGTAGAGTTCAGTCTCGCGAGCCATGAGCTTCTCGTGCAGCGACGCTCTTTCCGCCTCAGCACGAGCTAGTTGTCCCTCCAGCGCCTCGTTCCGTCGATTCGCAGCCTCGAGACGCTTGCTCTGCTCTTCACTGTGCACTCTCATCACCGTTTCCTGGTTCAAACTCTGTTGTTGTCGGGCAGTCTGCTCTCTTGTCAGCATTGACGTGATGCGAGCAAGTGCATCTTCCATCCGTGGCTGATGCTGGAGCAGCTGGAGTAACATGGTCTGGATCCCAACCTGAGCATTGGTCAGCTCTCCACTCCCATTGCTACTGTTGCTGTTGCTATTACTGCTCTCTTGACTATCATCTGCAAGTCGTCGTCTCTTGTTCTTCTTCAATGCACCAGAGGAAGATGCGCCTACCCTTGGGTTAGCCACGCCAGACGACACTGCCGGCTCTTGTTGCTGTGTTTCTAAACCAGCCCCTTGGTTTGTTATGTCAGTCAACACGCCACTCCCACTGGCAGTGACTGTGGTAGTTATAGGCCCGGGAGGCTCAGCTTGTCGAGGTGGAGAGCTTAACGGTGTGTCTAGAGCAACAGAACTCTGTTGCAATGCCTGAGACTGCTCAGAGTTCTCCTGAGTAGGTTCATTCTCTGGCTCAACTGTCTGAGTTTGCTGCTGTTGCTCTGAAGTGGGTGGTTCCTGGACAAGCGGCTCCGATTGTATAGACTCTCCCTGCAACAAGGCTGTTTGTGAGGATTGTCGTGTCTGAATAGGCTGCTGAGGAGCTGAAAATGCCACACGAGCGACGGGTTGTTTGAAAGACGATCGTGTCGGTCGCGTACGTTCTACAAACACGGCAACATCTTCGTTAAAGCACTATCCTTTTAGATAGCGTAAATATACACGACGTACGCGTTGCTGCAATTGACTGAGAAGAGCTTCTGCTTGTAGTTGGTGCTTGCATCAGCACAGTTTGAGGTAAAGAGAGTAAGTACAGGTCGTCCAGCCATTGGTGTGCGCCGGCATAGCCACCGAAGATCAGCAGCTTCTGCACAGCATTCGGCTCCGCAGGTTCTGAGTGGAACAATACCGTGGCGTGAGCTGTCCGTCCAACGGGAGCATAATCATCCGTCTGGCTCCTGCGACGGCTTCCTCTTGACCATTCGCCATGGACAAGACGCCAAGTACGCGAGTTCACATTGTAAATAAAGAGTTCATTCTGACGCACCGCACGTCGTCGACCACCGAATAGCACAAGATGATTCGGCGCAGCAAACGTTAGTGAGTGGTTAATACGACACGTGGGTCGATCCCCCAGTGTGGCATTGGCCAGCGAGTCCCAACGAGAGTGCATCACATCGTAGAGGAACAATGAGCCGAACTCCTGCTTGCCGTCAGTCCCACCAAACAAAAACAAGGTTTTCCCATCATGACTCGCCGTTAAGCCTGCGAATGCTCGCGGTTGAGGCAATTGACCTGTTGGATTTACTGTAGGCTTGACCCACTGATTCAACGGCGCGTCGTAGTAGAAAATATCGTTAAAAAATGTCGTCGAAGTGGCGTCTTTCCCTCCAAACACGAACACCTGGTCTCCTCCCACCACCACGCTACTATGAGCGTGTCTGGCTCTGGGTTTCCACATACTAGAGTGATCTACACGTCGTGCTTCCCACTGGGCCTCCAGCATTGGCTGTCTCACTCGCAGCTCCTCGACTCTTAACGTCGGTGTATCAAAGGCCATACCTGCATTAATAGCTCCTCCTTCCGCTTGAGTACCTCCCCCTCTGTGCATCTGTGTGTCATCAGTAGCTACGACCACATTGCCCACTACCAACACTCTCATACCTCTCGTTCTCTCCTCGTCCTTAAAGCTTTCCACGTAGTGCATGGAATGGTAGTCTCTGCCTCCTCCGGGGTGGATGAAGGCGGGTGGACGTCTCTCGATGCCTGATCCAATAGCGCTGGGGCTTGTATTACTAGTTGGAGCACTCGAGAACATGGGAGAGCGCGGAGATTGGCCGTTAAAGGCGGTGCCGTGCGATACCACCAGCCTTTTCCATTGAACGTCGATGGCTGCGTGTCCTGGTGTCTCCTCATCATCTTGACGGCTACTGCGCGCTACTTCACCTGATGATCTGCTGCTGGAGTTTGCGTAGCTTGCTGGCTCTAATAGAAAGATGTCCTCGAAGAAGATTTTACCGTCTGCACCGCCAAAGAGGAGGACGCTGCCTGTGGGCGATAAAGATGTCATGGCGTGGCCAGACCGCGCCGCTGGGGATGATGGGTACGTTGCGTGAGGGTGATGAAAGACGATAAGGAAAGAATATGAACCCAAGTTGCGTCCATATTGAGACACTGGAAGAGGCGGGAGGCGCCGACGCGCCCGAGCGATCGGGGCGCCGGAGCTGCATACCACCACTGCTTCCAATAGCGTGTTGAGGCAACCTCTGATATTGCATGTTTAAAAGTGGTACATGTTCAAAATATGTTTTAAACATAACTCGATGCTTTTAGTACATCTATCAGTACTAAAATATGAATCGAAAAGTAGTACAACGCTGCGAAATAGGATCATGTATTACTATAATGCCTATTTTTACATAAAACATGATGTTTTTGGTCCTCCAAAAAAGTGATTTCGTCCCAGCACAAAATCTAAGTAGGATGTCGCTGAGCCCCAAGGAAGAGGTAATCGATCGCGCACTCTGTTCGTGTTGCAACCTTCCATTGTAGTAAACGCGTGGACTCTCAGGTTTGCATCGTCGACGAGGACAACAATGTGATCGGCAAGGCTGACCGCGCCGTCATGGTAAACTGTTGGCTTCTAGTAAAGTGCTTCTGCATCATTTCGCATAAACTAGCTTTGTGCCCAACATAGCGAGCGTTTAACCTGCCGCATCGAGCATCCTATATCGTCATCAAGAACTCGAGGTACTGTATGGAGCAACGTCGATTTCGGTGTGGGAGAATTAATTAAGCCCATTGCGCTGGTGCCTCAGCGGCAAATATTACGTACAGCGCCGCACGATGATCAAGGACTATTTTCCAGGGAAGCTGGATCCAATGGCCGGTGGGGTTGTGCAGTACGGGGAGCCTATGGACGTGAACGCTGAGCGCGAAGCTGAAGAAGAAATGGGCGTCAAGAATACACCTCTGCGTTATCTGACGACGTTCTACTACGGGGACGACCACAGTCGAGTCTGGGGCGGGCTTTTCGACTGCACATTCGACGGTCCACTCGTGCTTCAGGAAGAAGAAGTTGACGAGGTCCTCACTATGAGTGCAGATGAGATCTTTGCTCGTCGCAACGAATTTACACCTGACGGCATCTTCGCGTTCGAGAAATACTTGAGGCTGATTGAGCCGGAATCAAAATAACCGCAGTAGAGCTTTCCATTAGGGAAATGTGAGCTGAAATATACGTGTTTTTTTTACATAATGTATATGTTTATTCGGACCTCGATCTAAAGTGAGAGCCATTCAGCACCGATGCATTGGTCATAGAGTTTTAGTAATTAAAAAGCTACTACAGTAGTATATGGTACAATGTATTCGACCACCTCCAACTTTAATAAACTGTGATCAAAGAAAGTAACGCTTAAACTACCTACTCACAGGTCGATCTATGGCAAATCCCACCATTCTTGGGAAAGTTCTTTTTTCGGCCAATTCTTTTCGTTAATTGAAAGAAAAGGTAAAGTAAAAAATAGAAAAAAAGAGTGTATTAATTAATGCTCACCTTTTCTGCAGCGTTTTAAACAGAACTATCATTAGAGAGATTTCGAAGAGAGCCAATCTTGGTCCGAGTCCTCGTTCGTAAAACGGGAATGGACCAAGACTAGGAATGCAAGCAAGAGGTTTCGCTACAAATCTCAGTCCAATCTACGAAAAGCCTTCGAGCATTAACTAATTGAGGTAATCTTCGCCGTTCCAAAGCAGTTAACCGGCACCAACCATGATGAGTGGTGCTCCTTCACGAGCTCCGTTGTTCTACTCGAAGCATTCGCTTTTGATCTCCAGCCCACCAAGATGCCAACATCTCGTAAACCTCCAAAGGAGAGTGCCCAGTCGACTGAGGCACCTTCAACAGCCACGACAACAGTGTCCTCCTCGAAATCGAGGACAAAAAGAAAGAAATTCAGCAAGCACGACGACCTAGTACTACTCCGGCAAGTTAACGCAGACCAGCCTTTTGCTAGTGTTCGAGGCAGCCTTATGGATGCGTGGACGTCTCTCGCCAACAAGGTGAAAGTCGTGCAGGGGTTTTCCGAGCAGGAGATTACTGGCAAGTCGGCACAGGCACGGTTCAATGTACTGGTGAAAAGCCATTGAGAAGCCGACAAAAAGTCGGCGGCAGCTTTGGGAGTCTCAGAGGATTACACGGAGTCGCAGCAGCTTCTGAACGAGATAGTGCTGGCTGTAGATGAGCATGCTAGAGAAGAGGCGCAGCGGGCTCTGGAGTTGAAGTAAAAGATCGAGTCAGAAGATAACGTTGGTAAGCTAATGCGGGAGAAGCGGTATCGCGCCTGAAGAAGCGGAAGGACAGAGGTGAAGAGAGCGAGTCTGAGAAGCCGTCGCCGCGCAAGGTAACCATCTACGACCTGATGCGTGAGGACAACGAAAAAGAGCGCCAAATGCGAGCTGAGCAATTTCAGCAGAAGCAAGAGTTGCAGCGAAAGCAGAAGGAAATGGAGCTTCAGGACCGGAAAGAGGAGCGAGAATTTAAGCTTCGTCTTGCTCGATTAGAAAACAAACGCTACGAAAACCTGCTAAAGCTAGCTCTGCTCAAGGCGCGTGGTGGAACGGCGCTCGATGGAATTGTTGGAGAGGTCGGTGACGTGGGCGAAGATGCGGGGGTTGGAGTGAGCGATGGTGTCTTGGGTCTTGAAGGTGGTGCTTGACCGAGCGCAGGAATTTCACCTTCTAGCCCAGATAATCCTGTAAGCTGGGTGGTGGCAGATCGAAGTACTGGCTGATTTGGTTGCCTCCGTAGTGTCAGCTGTGGCAGTTCGTTAGGAGCATAGCAACTTTAACAAACTTACCGACTGGTGACAAGCGAACCTTTTGCTGTTTATTGTAGTCGACGTACGACCACAGAGTTTTCATACACTTGAAATTCCATCAAAGTATTCTAGAAGACCACTTTCCCGCAGCATGGAGCTGTCGTGGCGGCGTCCCTCCATGGGACCCCAGAAATGGATACAAAGCCCGTCAGGTGCCGTCACGGCTTGGTAGTTCAGGCAGTGAATGCGCTTGTGCCCGCTGTACAGATGCTTCTGCAGGTTCTCACCTCTTTCACCATGACGGCGAGGTGAAGGACGACAAACCGCCACCTTGGTGCCGTCGGGGAACCCAAATACGCCCTCCGTCGGAACTCCTTTCACCTCGACGGCTTCGCAATACTCCTCCATGCGGGCGCTAACGATCGATTCAGCCATGAACAGCTTGTCCGCAAACGTGTCGTGCACGTAGTCGATCATGTGCAAGAATACACGACACAACCACGCTGTACCCCTTCTAAGCGTCTTCATCATGTCGTAGTAGCGCGTTGGAAACGCTAAGCGAGCTAGCATCACGCAGAGGGCAGTGTCACCGGAACAAGTGTCGCCATGTGCCGTCACTACAGTGTCAGGGATGCGCAGCAGAGACCGTAGCTCATCGACGCCAGCCACATCGAAGCGAAACTCAAGCTCGCTGTTTGCATCGGTGTAGCTAGCGAGGTCAAACGTCACAGCAGGAATCGAAGGCCGCTCAACTTGGTCGAGCAGCAACATGAAGCGAAGCTTCTTCTTGCGGCTCATGTACTTGTTCTTGGCGATGTACCACTGCAGCAACGCAGTCTCCGACGACACCATACTGATGGTGGCTGTGAAAGATTGGTTGTGAGAGGTCTCCAACCGGATAGGACATTCCTAAGAAAACCATATTCCTAAGACTGTCTTGACAACAATTCCTGGTTCGTGCTCGATGCTTCACTTTTCATGAACGTCAACCGAGAACGGACTAAGAATTGCTGGTTTCGAAATCTCTCTATTACTGTTGTAGATAAATACCGTCGTACCTCGTACAAAACGCGTGGGCGTTCAATCCAAGGTCGAACAAACTTTATTTTCTTATTGGACCTCAAATGAAAAGCAAGTACCGCCTACTTGAACACATGCTCTTGCAAACTCGACCCACCAACCATTTGGGCTGGAAAGCGCAAAGGTTTTGCTACTTATTCTACAAAGGACCACTTGAAGCACAACCACCGTTAGCTTGCCCTGTAAGCCGACAAGAAGGAAACAAGCACTCTCGTTTCAAAGCGGCGAACTTAGCGTGCACAAACCTAACGTGCGTGGCTGCGGTTTTGTAGCTCCTGTCAAGAAGTACAAGCTGGTATCTACTTCAATTGCTCGTGAGTGTCACATAAAACGAGAATTGTTCGATGCAGCTGCAAAAGACCGCAATCTTTCCACCTGCACGATGCGTGCAGCGGGAGTAAGAAGACAAAGCATCCATCCCGTTCTTACACATTCTTAAAGCCCGTGGGCGCTATAGGCATCCGTTTGGTTCAAAAAATTTCAACAGCCCAATGTCGGGCTTTAGGAACAAGGTGTTTGAGGTGCACCGTACAAGTTTTTATTGGTAGATCAGGGATTAATAGAAACCATGAGTGGCGAAAACGGAAGACAGCCCCTACCCAACAAGTGATCTGAACCACATTCAAGTAATTTGACTTTAATTTCAACTTCTTCCACTAGTACTTGATATGGCAACCCTTGGCTTGCTTGACGGTATTGAGGCGCTTGGGTATTGAAAGCTTACGGCTATCTTCACGACGTCATCGTGAATCTGATACCAAAGCTTGGGCAGCTTCTGCGCTAAATCTTCGAGGGCCGTCGTAGGAGACCTGTTTAGCTTTCACTTCAGGATAGCCCAGATATTCTCGATCGACATAAGGTCTGGACTCTAAGCAGGGTGCATAAGGGTCTTCAGATTTAGATCACGCAGCACCTTTTTCGTCTTATTGGTGGTGTTCGCAGGCGCGTTATCCTGTACAAACCGTGCTTGATCAGGGAAGCCGTTCAGAGCCCTTGATGAATGATACCTCATTTACCAAAATCTTGCGATAATATTCACCATTCACAGACGCTTCACAAATGAGGAGTGGACCGACTCCGCTACCACAAATGGAGCTCCATACCATTACAGACTTGTGACTACTATTAAAGGTAGGCTTCACACAGTTTGGAGTAAGCACTTCATGCTACGCTCCACATAAACCCAGCCTGTGGTGCCGTACATCTCAACCACAGTATCGCCAGTGAGAAGGACTTCATCCCAGTCCGTCTCAATCATCTTCTCGTACTGTTTCGCGTAGGCTAGGCGCATCTTGCGGTGCTTAGCGAACAGGAAATGTTTTTTTCGGGCGGAATGCCCCTGAAGACCAGTCTCGCTGATCCTTTCGCGGATTGTAATACGTGAAATAGACTTACCAATCTCTATCTCGGCGCTGCCAGTCGGGAGGCTCTAATGAAACGATTTCTCTCCACCTCGTGAGCAAAGCGACGGCCTTGACCTACGTCGGTCATTCTTGGTCGACCAAATCTCGGTGGTACGAGAGCGTGGCCATGTTTCTTATAGTATCTGATGATTTTTGCAACCGACGCCTTGGGCATGTTCAGTTGCGTTGCGATCTCTTGCCGTATCCAAGGCCACTGTTGCGCTTGTGGACGCATAGTAGACGGAGGCCATGAGCCCATTGGTGGCGTCGAGACTTTGGCTTATGTTGCGTTGGTGTTTGGGGTCGCCAAATGCAAATGCAAAATGAGGGCCGTTCATAACTGCTGTTGATATCCAGCCAAGGTCCAAATATACCAGAGACTAGGCCACACATCCGCTCAACCGTTTCACATTATGATGAGAACGAGTATTTCCTCTTACTACGTTGATTAATGCAAATTGTTTTTCTTTAATCTAATTTTCTTTTACACTTACGGTGACGATTTCGCGTGAGGATAGAGCTGAGTGTCGACGACATGGCATACAACACAAGCTACAACGACACCTTACTAGGTACGAGGGAGAGGCAGCGTACGTCGAGCTACTGTCGGGTGAGTCGCGGGGTCACGAAGCGCAGGGGTCATCATGATCCTTGTCGAGAAAATCTCAGTTTGGAGAGGAAGTCGTGTGATTTGTGTTCAACCGTACACTCGTACACGTTTTGTGGGTTTTAGGGCTCACCCACCGTGTCATCTTCGTTCAAATTATGTACAAGTCAGTAATTAATCCTTCTCGAAAAAGTTGTATATATACTACAATACCCGCAGCTTAGAGCGACCCTGAGAGTGAGCTAGGAACGCGTGCATACCGTTGCAGCTTGCACTACTGCTTCG